TGCAAAATACCTAAAAAATACTTTATTCAATGAAGTTTGTCACATAGATAGTTCAATGTCGACCCAGGTGAACATCTGAACACATTTCAGGAAAATGGTAAATACCAAAGTTGTGAAACACGAAATGGAACCCAGCCAATGAGCTGTTTTTTGTTGTAGAGGCCCACCATGGCATGTATGGAGCATGGTATGGAGGAACTAAACGGCGAGTACGTGCCGTACATGGCGCGCCCATCAACACTGACCGCCATCACTGAGACCTACGGCTGATCTGCAGAAAGAGATCTAAATGGAGGTGGAGAGGGACGCCACTGATGCAACATGTACACCAGTTTACATGATTGGACATCAAGGCCTATTAAAAATAGGATCAAGCACACACAACACTTTGTCAGCCTTGTGCTGTTTGTGTTAATGATATAAACATAAACAGACCACAACATAAACATTATTTTGCATTTTTGAGAGGATAAACTCCCTTGAAATGCATTTCGTTAAATGTGCATGAAAATAATCATTTTAGCTACTTGGTCTACTTTAAACCCACATTTAAATCAAATACAGTGAAGAACAAAAAGATTAAAAAAGCAGCAAAAATAAAATTGTTGAACATGTCTGACTTTTTGTGTGTCTCAGAAATGTAACGTTTTTAAAAAATAAAAACATTTATAGCACCCTAAACATTATTCTCACACCCAGTGGTGAATGGCCATGACCAGATGGGTGTTCAAAGAAATCCCCGTCTGAGTCACTCAGACTGGGGCTGTGGCATGACATCAGCTGCTGTGGCCTTTCAGTATCACATTAACAAACATACCCTCATGCAATCTAGAGAAAGAGTCAGGTGTTCAAATACTCATAATGCAGGCAGAATCAGTGACTCCTGTCATGTTGTTTTATTATAACACTGGCAAGTTATTGCAGATGACTGTCTGTGTATGCATTTTTGATGTGGCTGCTTAAAGTAAAGCCACATTTGTATTTTTTGTTTAATGTCAGGTTGGAATGTACCTCAGAATAAGAATTCCATTATTAGTTCCACAGAGAGGACATTTACAAACTGTGCAAAGCATTTGAGTAAATGCACTTGGTTACTTTCCACAACTGGATACACTTACAAAATATCTCCAATATTTGGATATAAATCCCACCATTAATAGATTTTAAGGGTATTTGCTTTGGGAAATTAAACAGTTTTGATACTTTCATTTTCTTAATTTTGAAATGTAAAGTAATGAAAATATTTTAGCATTGGTTATTGACAAAGGAGGTGGGCACAGTGGCCAGTTGCAGCCCTCGACACATTTTTTTACTTGTGACACTGCATAGATAGCACGTGTTGTAGCCTGATGAGCAGGCTGTTTTGAAGAGGGTGCAGACGCTGTATCACAGTTGTGATAATGAAAGAAATCCAAGAACTCTGATGAAAAAACCCATCTGCTTAATGTGAGATGCCAAAGCAGTATTGCCACATACATGACAAGCATACAGTATTTCCAGAGATGAAAATAAATGTTATTTAGACAGAGGCACAGGAGAGGGATTATAAACCCCTTTGTTATCTCATTTTATATTATTCTTTGACATGAACCCCCCTCAATTAAGTTGAGAGTAAAAACAGACCACATGTTGAAATGTTAGTGCTTTATTGTACTGCTTTGTTAGCAGACTGTACAGTACGTCCTCTTTCATAATGCATTTAATCCCTTGTCCACAGACATATTCATTTATTGTTTATCAAAGGTGTTCAAAGTTGTTTTTCAGGACCCGGCTGTCTTGTGACCGGAGGCTTTCTGCCTCTTCTCCTCCTTTCACCTTCTATCCCTCTCACATAAGCTCAATGGTAGCAAACATTACGCAAGATGTTGGCTGACTATCCCTAGCCAGGAGCACATGGTGTAGCCGCAGGTTTAGCAGGAAAACAAGATCACACGTTGAAGTAAGAGGGGGCGGGCCTGTGTCACTAAGGTCATAAGGAAGTGGGATGGGCCATCATAAATATCTTCTGGGGCAACAAGCTCATTTCTGACATGAATGGCCCTCATCAGGAGATACTCAGGAGGAGGGGGGCTCTGTTTTCACGCAGAGGTTATTACAGTTTGAAATTCTACAGGGGTGTGTTTCTGTTGTTGTCCTTGTACAGAGGTTAGTCTTGATACTGTATAGAGTTGAAGCTGCAGGTATTTCTGCAAGTACGTGTACATCTGCATCATTTCCTATTTTACAAAACTATGTTCTCAAATCTACTGAGTGTGCACTGTATTAAAACATAATGTATGTATGACACTGTCGGAAACCTTAAAGCTACTTAGTAAGAATTAAAAAATATAATGAAAGGTACTAATAAGACCCCTAAATGCTGATATCCTCTGTACAAAGTCCAACCTTACATATATAACCATGTCATAGTAAAAACCTACACTGATACAGCTTTGTTAGTGGATAGAAGTCATTTTGGTTGACATGTTGAAATGAACATTGAGCCAGCAGGATTATTTGCAAGAACAATCCTGTATCTATTACAAAAAGTACTACATGTTACATACATGTGTCTGTGCACGTGACGTAGAATGTTGTTGATCTTAAATCTATTCATTATTAGCACCTGCCTGGCACGCCAAATAAAATAAAAACTGTCAAACATTACATAATGTGCTAGAAGGCGCAAACAGCCATGTCTTACAGTACACGGTTGCAATAAGTTGCATACTTTTCTCCCGTGGGAGGTGCTGGTCATACCCTTTCCAAGAAAACTCCCAGAGCAAACTTCCTAGAAACAAGTAGCCTGCAGTTTGGAAAGCCAAACATATCTGGTTGGGAAAATCTATGCCTTCTATGTATTACGTTGGAAAGAAGCCATACTGGAGCACTGATATGAATCCAATATTTAGCCAAACTCTAAACACAGAAAGAGTTACCAAGCATTTGGCAACAGCATTTGTTTTGTTTCGACTTGGTTCCCGGGAACACCTTCTTTTAAAAAAATAAAAATCAGAATGTGCTCTTGTTACGTAACATAACAAAGCATTTTGAAAACAGTCATGTTTTAAATACTTAGAATCTCCATGCAGATTGGATAATACATCAACAAATACAGTCTGCAACTTGTCAGCACACAGCTGAAATGTTATTTCAATAATCTTTTGGGGCAGGGCTGCCATGGTTGTCACTATTTTTAATTTATGAATGTCTAATAAAGTTTAAGTGGGTACATGTTATAGATCATCACACGTTTGCTCTTTTTAAAAACCAGTGGTGTAAGATGACATAGACATGGAAATGTTTTAGTTTGTTATGTAAACATGTGACATTGTAATGTGTCTTTATGGGATCATTGTGACAATCAGGGATGCAATGAACTATTTCTTTCAGGGTTTATTTTCAGTTTTCTTAATTTATTGTTTGGCCTGTTAAACTGCATCCTCTTCAGCGTGAAAAATCCCCTAAATGTTATGATCACTTTCCTTCCTAAACTAGCTACAGCTTTACACGTGGTGAACAACTCACAAGACACAAAACCGTTAGGGTGTGTGCTTGAACATTTGCAGAGTCACATTATCTCCCAAACCCTTTACTCTGTGCAAATAATCAGTTTCATCAAAACAACAGGGCATACACTGCTGTTTACACACTGACAGAGCTGGACACGCTCCAGTCTGATTGGCTGCGGCCTGAGCTCCTTCCCCCTTTTCTTGGCCGCTTTCCAGTACTTTCCTTCATCTTGCAACCCCTTCAGGGGCAGTCTGGTACATTCCAGAAGAGAAAAACACAGCAGAGGGATCGAAGAGCAAAAGGCGGGTACACACGTAACACCAACTGCGAGTACAGTGGGGAGTTGAGGAAGTGACTCCACTGAGAGGAGGGACAATCCTGTAAGAGGATCAGGTTTCAGCAGGAAACCAGGTCATCACAGTGCTTTATGGTATTGGCTATTGGGGCAGAAAGTTACATCATGTTTATTCAGATGTGTTCTTCATAATAAAGTGGGAATTATGAATGGCAAGTAATGTAGACATAATATATCCTACTGTTGGAGAGGGATGGAATGTAACAAAGTAAATTTACTGAAGTGATGCAATTTTGAGGTAGGCCTACTGGTTTTTATTCCACTACTTCTATGGCATACCTCTTCTCACATTTCAAAAGCACACTATACTTTGCTTTACTTCATGTCTAAAGATATCATAGTTGTATGGCTCCTTCCAGTGTACCTTGTTATTGTGTTATTTGTGAGGTGTTTCCTTTGTGAATAATTGATCCTCATTGTTCACATAATTCATCCATTATTTATGACTGTTAACTTCTAAACCAAACCAACAAGGTTGTTCTCAAGATTTTCCATGACCATTGTTGACCCGATCATGCAGAGCCGGCCTCACTCAAAACAAATCTCTCTATGTATGCTGCTCAGCTCAGTCTGGCATGTTGCTTGCATAACCAGCTTGATCCAATCATTAACTCCAGTCAGTTCTAGAAATACGCAATTTCCTCTTCATGACAATAACTGGGACATCGGCCAGATTGCATAAAGCCTCTTACATTAAACTGTAGGATTAGTTATGTTCTCACTATATACGGTTATGGTGTCTGATGCCACCCAGTGGACAGATTTATATTTATTCTTTTAAAAGTGCCAACAGTTATGGCAGTGAGGATTTGAGTCGCGTGTGACCTTCAGCTGCAACCAACACCTACAGGTTGGTCATCTGAGAACCTGCCTGGTGGCCCGCGGCCGAAAGTGTGGAATGAATCAGACTTGATAATGTCTTGATAATGTATAATGAGTTTATTATTATCTGTGTGTAACTTAATGTGTGTATAACCAAATTGATTGTAACATTTGTACATTATACTCTTAAATAAAAAAACTAAATTACTACATTGATTGTTCAGATGTGAGTGATTAAACTGATTAAACCTGAGACTAAATTCAAAACGCAATAGATTTGTTTAGGACGTAGCCCGGCACTATAAGCTTCAGAAACAAATGCCAGTCAGTGTGAATTTAAATACTGATTACCAAAGTCAATTTATCACAGTACAGAATCATTTTGATGTAACAACATAGTGATTTTTATATAGTACAGTAAGAATTCATACTAATTTTAGATTGTTTTACAGACAAATAGACAAAAGCATCCTGGAATGATTGAGATTCAAATAAAATAAAAAAACATTGAGACAAACATACACCTCTTAATACTTTGCTCTGATAATATGTTTGAAAACGCTTTAAAAGGAACAGAACGCCTCATCTCACAAGCTTAAAACCTACAGTATGTGGCTAAAATAGATTACAGTACTTAAATATAAAAATAGACTATTTTTCTAATTTGTTTGTTCTTTTAGTTCTGCAGTCTTCTTGATGGACGGATGAGATCGTCCGGTGTGTGTCAACCGGTCAGTTCTGTCCCTTCAGTGACACATCCGGGAAGTCATCTCTTTCTGCAGACATGAGACACACATAACTCAGAGTTAGAAAATACAGGGAAAAAAACTTGAGATGTTACCACACTTTAGGATGCAATAAGCAGGTTATTTATATATAACTGTAAGCTTATGAAGATAAGATATTGAATAAAAGCAACAAATACATAAAGCAAAGCAACATATTGAGATGTACTACTGTTGGGGCTAAGAGAAGCTACAGCACATCAACACAGTACAAGACAATGCTGGGTATAGCAAATAATAAAGGTCAATATCTGCACACTAAAGACCTCATGAAAGACGACACAGGAAGTGAGGATACCCGGCCCGGAGGGAGCCCGGGGTCCCCTTCTGGAGCCAGGCCCAGAAGGAGGACTCGTCGGCGAGCGTCTGGTGGCCGGGCTTGCCACGGAGCCCGGCCGGGCCCAGCCCGAAAAGGCAACGTGGGCAACACCTCCGCTTCTCCGTCCCGCGGGCCCACCACCTACGGGAAACAGCGATGGGGTCGGGTGCGCTGTCAGAAGGGTGGCAGTGAAAGCGGAGGGTCTCGACGGAGCAGACCCGGGCGACAGAAGCTGGCTTTTGGGGACGTGGAACGTCACCTCTCTGGGGGGGAAGGAGCCGGAGCTTGTGCGGGAGGTGGAGCGTTACCAGTTGGATCTGGTTGGGCTCACCTCTACGCACAGCGTCGGCTCTGGAACCTTACTTCTGGATAGGGGTTGGACTCTATTCTTCTCCGGAGTTGCTCAAGGTGTGAGGCGCCGGGCGGGTGTGGGGATACTCACAAGTCCCCGGTTGGGTGCTTCGTTGTTGGAGTTTACCCCAGTGGACGAGAGGGTCGCCTCCCTACGCCTGCGGGTTATGGGGGGGAAAACTCTGACTGTTGTGTGTGCTTATGCACCCAACAGCAGTTCAGAGTATACGGCCTTCTTGGAGACCCTGGAAAGAGTCCTGTATGGGGCTCCTGAAGGGGACTCTTTAATCTTGCTGGGAGACTTCAACGCACATGTGGGCAATGATGGAAGTCAGGGAAGCCGTCCGACTGAAAAAGGAGGCCTTCAGGGATCAAGTTGTATTTTGTTGGACGAACGCACTTATTGTAAGTCGCCTTGGATAAAAGCGTCAGCTAAATGCAATGTAATGTAATGTAATGTAATGGAGACACTTGGAAGGGCGTGATTGGGAGGAACGGCCCCCCTGATCTGAACCGGAGTGGTGGTTTGTTACTGGACTTCTGTGCTAGTCATGGATTGGCCATAACAAACACCATGTTCGAACATAAGGATGCTCATAAGTGTACGTGGTACCAGAGCACCCTAGGCAGAAGGTCCATGATCGATTTCGTTATTGTATCATCGGACCTGAGGCCGTATGTTTTGGACACTCGGGTAAAGAGAGGGGCGGAGTTGTCAACTGATCACCATCTGGTGGTGAGTTGGGTCGAGTGGCGGGGGAAGCCTCTGGATAGACCTGGTAAGCCCAAACGTGTAGTTCGGGTGAACTGGGAACGTCTGGAGGAGGCCCAAGTTCAGGAGGCCTTCAACTCATACCTCCGGCGGGCCTTTTCGGGCATTCCTGTGGAGGTTGCGGACATTGAACCAGAGTGGTCGGTGTTCAAAGCCTCTATTGCCGAAGCCGCGGCGAGGAGCTGTGGTCTCAAGGTCCTAGGTGCCTCAAGGGGCGGTAACCTTCGAACCTCCTGGTGGACACCGGTGGTCAGGGAAGCCGTCCGACTGAAGAAGGAGGCCTTCAGGGATTTGTTATCCCGGGGGACTCCCGAGGCAGTTGCAAGGTACCGACAGGCCCGAAGGGCAGCAGCCTCATCCGTGGCCGAGGCAAAGCAGCGGGTGTGGGAGAAGTTCGGAGAAGGACTTTCGGGCGGCACCTCAGGAGGGGGAAGCAGGGAACCATCCAAGCTGTGTACAGTAAGGATGGGACGTTGTTGACCTCAACTGATGGACTGTTAGGGCATTGGAAGGAACACTTTGAGGAACTCCTGAACCCGACAACTCCGCCCTCTATGTTAGAGGCAGAGCTGGAGTATGACGGGGGACCAATCTCCCGGGGGGAGGTCACTGAGGTCATCAAACAACTCCACAGTGGCAAAGCCCCGGGGGTGGATGAGATCCGCCCAGAAATGCTGAAGGCTCTGGGTGTTGAGGGACTGTCATGGTTGACACGTCTCATCAACATTGCGTGGAAGTTGGAAACAGTACCGAAGGAGTGGCAGACCGGGGTGGTGGTTCCCCTTTTTAAAAAGGGGGATCAGAGGGTGTGTGCCAATTACAGAGGCATCACACTACTCAGCCTCCCCGGGAAAGTTTACTCTAAGGTACTGAAGGAGGGTCAGGCCGATTGTCGAACCTCAGATTGAGGAGGAACAATGCGGATTCCATCCTGGTCGTGGAACGACGGATCAGCTTTTTACTCTCGCAAGGATCCTGGAGGGGGCCTGGGAGTACGCTTATCCGGTCTACATGTGTTTTGTAGACTTGGAGAAGGCGTATGACCGAGTTCCCAGGGAGTTACTGTGGGAGGTGCTGCGGGAGTATGGGGTGAGGGGGTCTCTACTCAGGGCCATCCAATCTCTGTACTCCCAAAGCGAGAGCTGTGTCCGGGTCCTCGGCAGTAAGTCGGACCCATTTCCGGTGAGGGTTGGCCTCCGCCAGGGCTGCGCTTTGTCACCAATCCTGTTTGTAATATACATGGCTCGGATTTCGAGGCGTAGTCATGGGGGAGGGGGTCTGCAGTTCGGTGGACTAAGGATTGCACCACTGCTTTTTGCAGATGATGTGGTTCTAATGGCTTCATCGGTCTGCGACCTTCAGCACTCACTGGATCGGTTCGCAACCGAGTGTGAAGCGGCTGGGATGAGGATCAGCACCTCCAAATCTGAGGCCATGGTTCTCAGCAGGAAACCGATGGACTGTCTACTCCAAGTAGAGAATGAGTCCTTACCCCAAGTGAAGGAGTTCAAGTATCTCGGGGTCTTGTTCTCGAGTGAGGGAACAATGGAGCGTGAGATGGGCCGGAGAATCGGAGCAGCGGGAGCGGTACTGCAGTCGCTTTACCGCACCGTTGTAACGAAAAGGGAGCTGAGCCAGAAGGCAAAGCTCTCTGTCTACCGGGCCATTTTCGTTCCTACCCTCACCTATGGTCATGAAGGATGGGTCATGACCGAAAGAACGAGATCGCGGATACAAGCGGCCGAGATGGGTTTTCTCCGCAGGGTGGCTGGTGTCTCCCTTAGGGATAAGGTGAGAAGTTCGGTCATCCGGGAGGGACTCGGAGTTGAGCCGCTCCTCCTTCGCGTTGAAAGGAGCCAGTTGAGGTGGTTCGGGCACCTAGTTAGGATGCCACCTGGGCGCCTCCCTAGGGAGGTGTTCCAGGCACGTCCAGCTGGGAAGAGACCAAGGGGTAGACCTAGGACCAGGTGGAGGGATTATATCTCTTCGCTGGCCTGGGAGCGCCTTGGCATCCCCCAGTCAGAGCTGCTTGATGTCGCCAGGGAAAAGAAAGTTTGGGGCTCTCTGCTGGAACTGCTACCCCCGCGACCCGACCACGGATAAGCGGGAGAAGATGGATGGATGGATCTGCACACTAATCTCTAGGGATGTGCTAAGAGTCCTTTTCATTTTCTCTAATGCTTCTTTTGGGGTTATCGAATGAAGCTTTGAATGTGGGTTGTCATTTTTTTTTTTAACCTGCTGTTAAAAATGTTGCTAGACTGCCCCCCTTTGTGTGCAGCAAGCACTACAGCAAACTGTTTGTTGGTCCCTGAAACAATTATGAAAAGCTAAAAACAGGCTAATATGGATATAGATAAAAACATGTTCTGAATTTTGGAAGAGAATATTTCTCTTTTCTAAATGGATTTTGAAACTCTCTGGAGTTATTGGAAATATTTGGATCACACAAGGCGGAAAAAGTCCTAAGCAGCCAATGCAGGAATCAAATTCTGCAAACAGTACAATACTAATAACGGAATGAAAAGAATGAAAAGAAAATGCAAACAAATAAACTGCGCAGCATTCCTATGTTAATTTATAATAAGAATGTCAACGTTATGAATGAAGCGTCAAACCATGCGTGCAGCCCTGCTAATCTCCATAGCCAACATCCAGCTTATTGTCTAAGACTTTGGTCACACGGGCCTTTGTTACAGTTTGACACATGCCCAACAGACACAGAATTTAGAGACTCTCACAATGGGTGGAGGGGTCAGAGGTGATCAATAGACAATCAGCACACAATCAATCACATTATAACATAAATTGGGGCAGTACAATAATCCATGACTGATTCATGAATTTCAAGAAGGACCTATTGTTAAAATATGATTTATAGAGATCCTGAAAAGAAATGTAAGTTGCTTAATTTGGGAACAAACATATATAAATATATGTCTGTATGAAATTGCAAGGTTTATTATAATTGCAACAAAAAGATCCAGGGTCTTGTTTGACATAAGTGACCTTGTAAGTTGTGCTGCTTACATGCAGATTGCGATGCATCCTGTTTCACAAATGATTGTCTCAGGTAAATTGCTGATAAATGTGAGTCCTACCAGGCTCTTGTATGCTCATGTATGCTTTACAAGTACATTTCAACAAGAGGAAATTATCTCATTTTGTAAATCCCCATCAATGACTTTTTATTTAAGTTTTTATACCATCTGTAAAATGCAAAATGTTAGGTAGTAAGTAAAATAAAAAGTACAAGTGATCTTTGATTACTGGCATCTTAAACATTTTTTTCTACTTTATGAGGTTTTTGAAATACAATATTTTAAACATGATTTTTTTTGTGTCAGCTCTGTCACTCACCAGAGGCTCCAGCTCTTTGTGGTCCGTGAGGTTGAACTCAGTGACAAAGTAATAGAAATGCTTATAGCAGGTATTGACGTGAGCCTCGGCCCCCATCTGGCTCACACGGTCAAAGTGGTGGATGTAGACGTGAACAAACACCCGGAACAGACGAGACAAAATCTTCTTAGCCACCTGCATGAAGGTCTTAGGGAAGGGAGTACCTGCGGGTCAGACAGATAAAGACGAGACAACACTGAGGTCAATCCAGCATGACCTTTTGACATTTGCTTCACAGAGAGGAACACATTTGAAATCCTGATGTGTTTAATGCAATAGTTACAGAATATTTACTGTGTTGAAACTTTCAGTGTGTGTCTTTGTCCTATGGAATCCCTCAGGTATGATACTAGCATGCTGAAGGGGCCCAGACAGTATCACCACATAAGCAAATGGAAAATCAACATGGCTTAGTCTGAGTGATAAGCCTCTGATCTCACCAAGTGATTCATTTATGTCGTTTTGCTTGAACTAATTCAATAATATTTCAGGAATCTGTTCCAGAGGGCACACGAGTCAGATGTTGTCTAATTATAGCCTCCTGTATACTGTGTGACCCATTTTTTAATCCATTGCTTGGATGTTTGTGTAGTTAGTCAGATTGCGAGCCACAGCAAAGGTATGCAAACAGATACAGAATGAGATAATGAGACACCGTCAATGCCACAGCAGCATAAAGGTTTACAAGTCATGTTTGTAATGTGCAACACTTTGGGTAACGTTATTAATTTGGCCTCCAAGATTTAATCTAATACATATTTTGGTTATCTAATAGAGTGAATTCAGATTTTTAAATGCCTTCACTCTGCATAATTGTATCTGTACCTCATTTTAACTTTGCAATGCATTCATTACATGTTCTTTATTATTTAAAAACGTTTTATTTTGGGATCTTTACTATGACTAGTGCTGGCATGAGTAGCCAATTGAAAGAAATACTAAAAATGTTTTACTCTTTTATTTCTTCTGTTTTTCTACCTGGCATTTTTAAATAGCCAAACTGCCGTCAATACTAGCAAACCAAATTGTTGAATCTTTTCATCCCAGGTTTATATTTGAATAGCGGCCTGCAACTCTACGGTGTGAAAGACGTTCTGTTTGTTTGCAGAAAGGATTCAGCGAGAGTTGTTTTTAAGATGACGTCACGTCAGTTTCACGCGTCTATGTTACGTGGATGAGCGGACAATCCTGCCTACACTGGAAGGTACTGTGGAGTGGAAAAACAAAATAGAGAACAGCACCTGGTACGAAAGAGATTGAAGTCTAGTCTAGCAAATGCGTATCATGCAGTGGAAACACAACATAATATTTGCTCTCTACAGGTTCATGAACCTCTTTAAAAACAGAACTACCTCTACTTGTAACTAGGGCTGGGCGATTTTTTCGGTTTTAACGATTAATTTGCATTTTTACTTTCCTACGGTTTGTGAAATGGCTGAACCGAAAAATCGCGATTTAAAAACATTTCTAGACTCCGCAGATTTGTTTTGCTTTAAGGGACTCCGTAGTAGCTTACTCTCTCACTTTCCAGAACGCGCACAAAACTCAGACACATTGCCTGTGACTACCCGATCTGCAGCTCTGTGTACACATATATCACTTAAATTATTCAATACATCCTTTGTACTGAAGTATTCAAGAGTAAATAAAGTAAATAAAGTTTAATATAAATGATTTGCTGTGGCCAATTGTTTTCATTGCATTTACAGACCCGTGTAAATCTCTGATACCACCCAATGAATGCATTGACTTGCTTGTAGAACCACGCTACACAAAACAGATAGCAACACCTATACAAACTATTTAAAAATAAAGGGGCTACTGTATCGACCTATATAAAGTATATAAATATTTTTTTTTCTTCAAAATACCAAAAATATCTTGCATTTTAGCCATGCCTCATTTCGCTCCATTTGCTTTTTCCAGCGCTGTTTTTGCAGGGGGCTGATTCTGTGAGCTGCAGCTGACCACGCCCCCCTGCAGGAGAGGGAAGCGTGCTCTGAGATCAGCTGCTGGGCGGTCTGTAGAGGGGGAGGAAAATAGATCTCCGTCCTCCGTGTTTTATTCTTATAGAAGTAAGAAGAGAAGTAATGGGGCAGAAACCCTCCTTGTTACGCAGCGGTCCAGACATAGACATCAAACGGCGACACATATTCAGTTGGCAGTTACTTTGGCATTAGGGCAGGGATATCTAGATACTTCCCAAGGTCTGACATCATGAAGTGTGCTACTTTTAAAGCAAGCAACGATGTTTTCAAATCTGTAATCAAAAAGCTCCTCAAAAACACTATCGAAGCAGTTCCTGCCATTGCTACGTTAGTTCAAACAGTAACAACGGACTACTTTTCTTAGCGGATGCATGTCAATTTAAATCAATACATAAAACTATTTTTTAAGTCAATAAAATCATTTTCTAAATCCATAAAAGCATTTCAATTAATATTAGGAGTCATGTCGTTACTTTGTTGAGAATGTGGCCATGTGTAATAAGCGGGATAATGTGCACATTGCATAATGTGACTTCAAGCCGATCTAGATCCCTCCGCAAAAAAAACAAAAACACGGCTCGTTCGCGGGCGAGAGCCGGCTCCCGCCGTTCACTTAAAAGAACCGGCTCTTTGAGCCGGCTCGTTCGCGACCCACACATCACTACTGACAGTGTCGTCTACCTCCCAGTCAGAGCAGGACAAAATTGAAGCTGAGCTGTCATCCTATTTGTTGTCGTCTGAGACAGACCCTGATACAAACCCACTGCAGTAGTGGAAGCTACATGAAGCTAACTTCCCAAGACTGAGTAATCTGGCCAAGAAATATCTCTCCATTCCTGCCACCCTTCGGAGAGGGTTTTCAGTACGGGGGGTAACATTGTAACATGCCAAAGAGCATGCCTCAAGCCAGAGGCAGTAGACAGGCTTGTCTTCCTCGCGAAAAACCTGTAGACAACTTCCTAGAAAGTTAAAGGGATGTTATTTTGTTTGAGGGTATTTTTTTATTATTCATTTCATTATCATTATTTATTATTTGTTGTATTTCATTTTACAAGTTTTTTCAGGGATGGCCTAAAAGAGATTTTTTTTTCAGTTTGATTTAAAAATAATCTTTGCACATTAATGACAGCCAAGTGCCGTGGTGCTGTTTTTATTTTATTATTTTTTATTCTTGAACAACTGATTTGTTCACATAGGCCTAGACTACTTGGTAATCTCATTTATTGGTATTGTGTTAATAAAGAAAATATGTATTTAAATGTTGCCTTGGTCTGGTTTGTTTAGAAAAAAACTGAAAAAAATCGAGGTTTAAATTGAAAATTGTCCATTAGTTAGAAAAAAAAAATCTCGATTTTATTTTTAGGCCAAATCGCCCAGCCCTACTTGTAACCCAGTTGCAGGCAGTACGTCTACCAGTTATGACCAGTTCAACCAAGTGAGAGTCCCCACAATCTACATTTTCTTTATTTTACAGGACAAAAGTAGACCTTAGAGGGAAATCTGAATTATAAATCTAACTTTGTGAGGCATAAATATGCTCCATTTTACTCTTCTGTTAGTTATTTTGTGACCCTTCATATGTATCCTGCCAGCCATCGTGGGGGTCCCGACACCAAGTTTGGGGACCACTGGGTTACAAATCTCAACTGTGAGAACCTGAATCATTATTTATCAAACATCACTGGGGGCTTTACTGTTGTAAATCACTTTGATGTGAATGTTATTATTCTGGATGGGCACTGATCATTATCTGTGGACCAGAATAGGAACTGAAATAGCCTACTGTGGTTGATTTAATTGATGTGAGTAATAGCTGGTCAATGCCCTCTTTTGGCGTTACGAGGAGTCTGTGAACATTGTTGATTTGTTGAGTTGATTATCAGATTCAGGGATTTGAACCAACCGCCTAATATTCTTTACAGTAGCCTTGTTGAATGTTGACAGCTAAGATACATTTTACTCTTTGATAGGACACGCAGAAACCAAAAACCTGCGACCTAATTCTGGATCTCAGCATGAAGAGTTTACCACACTAAAGTCTTAACACCATAATCTCAACACTTACCGACATTGGTGGGGAAGATGTTCTCATTGTTGACTTGTACCTCAATCCAATCCATGAGCAGACTCATGTATTTAGGGGCCGACAGGGCTGTGGGTCTCTTGTATTTGTGCTCGTCCTGCCAGCGGTATTCGTACCTGGGCCCTCCGGACATGACGGGGCAGGTTTGATCGGTGCAGGAGTCGCTGATGGTGCCGTAGATGAGGTTAATGCGGTTAAAGAAGTCTACCACGTGGACGGCGACCCAGTCGTTGAGGTCCTCACCGTGGGGCAGCTGCACGGCCATCTTCAGGTCCAGCCCCGCGTTCAGAGAGGCCTGGGCTTTCTTGTGCAGGTCGAAGCGCTGCGTCCCGGGCTCAAACTTGCGCTTGGGCCGGAATGTCCTGTCTTTGTTGAAGACTTGTTTAAGAGCCATGGACATTGTTGAGTGAGGCAGAGTCAGGCGATTAGTTTGAATGCTTTGTGTGTGTTATTTACTGTTAAAAAGGTTAAAAGGTTGTTTAAACAACCAGGGCAGAGTTTGTGTTATCAACTGTCTTCTGGTATTTGTTTCGAGTCAGTGTGTGATCCTGCATATGACAAAAGGAGGGAAGAGAAAGAAAGAAAGGAACAAAGTTTTATTAATAGAAGTATATTTTCGCTTAAATACATACTTTTTATAAAGAATGATTTGAGTTTACAACCTATTCCTCCTGCATCACAAAACTATTTCAATCTATAGCTGCAACTTCAACTCATTATTGATAACTCTACTGATGTTTTTTTACCGAGTAATCATATTTATCATTTGTCATATCAGAGAAAAGAGAGACAACTTTCCATCACAATTCCCAAGGGTCAAAGTACCTGAACAAAAGCAGCAAATCCTCAAAAGTAAGAAGCGTGAACTTGGTAATATTTGGCATTCATGCTTTTAAAAATACCTAAATGATTTATAAAGGATATAAATACTTTTACCTCTATTACTGATGTGTATTAAACATGTAATACATGCTGGCTTTACATAACAATGGCATCAGTGTTCCAGTTGTTTCATTGTCTTGGGCCTAGAGTTGCTTGCAGAGATGCAGCAAAGTATAAAACACTCACACACCTTCTTATGAAAATATAAATCCTAAATATCTTGAGAGCTAACCTTTTTTGTATTCTACAAAACATAAATACATGTGAAAGCTAATGATTATCACAAAACGCCGACGTTTTTACTTCATTATGATTTTATCTAGGCACTACATTGAGAAGAAGTGATGAAGCCAAATGCATTGATGGCAACCTGAACATCTTAGGTAGACGTGAAGTCTCAACAGAGACAGAAGCTTGCATTAAAGATGAAACATCGGCCTGAAGTGAACATGAGTCATTTCCTATTTCAGCCGTGAAAAACCAAGAATCTACGGAATGACAATAAAACCAAGTCACACGTCTACCACCCATATAACAGAGCATTACTAGCTTTATTCATACATTTATCTAAATACGACACCGTAATCTTCACAATGATGCGGACTTTAATTCGTTTTAAGCACACTTTCAAGGATAAAAGAGATTAAACAGCGGGGCACATGACGACTGTACGAAGTTTATTCGTGACGCGACATGCTAACTCGGGCTGACTTGTTGCTTTCTAAAGCAGCTACACACATAGAAAAGACAAACCCCACGCTATTCATAGTAAGGTAACATCACATGTTAATAAAAACCATACGGAAGCATGTATTACATTAGACGGACGATGAAACGGTGACGAAATCGCATAGTTAAAACAGCACTTTCACGAACTTACTTGTTCCGCCTTCCTGTTCCGCTCACTTTGCTTCGATCTTTTCTTATAGGAGATTATCTGGTTACCAATGAATAGTTTTAAATCTACAGCATGCACGACCTACATTATGGATACGTGATACATGATGAATAATTACTGCTAATTCAATAAACATCTCACTTTAATAAAAGAAACTAATGTCTGACTCCTCCCTACCAAACGAAAAGTACACCAGTGTCGAGTTAAATCCGTCGGTGGCTACTTCCGGGCAGGACCTTCAAAAATAATGCAACCCTTTGAACATTGTAATTTTGTGTTAAATCTCTTTATTGTAGAAATCAACTCTTACAATATGTGACGTTGAAAGACCGAAACCATTTAGTCATGATGACGAAATAAGGATAGCATAACAGGCATGACTCCACTCTTAACACGAGGACACATTTAACATGATTGCATTACATAAGTTAACTGAAAATCATTATTTTTTAAGAGGGAAAATAAATCATTAATATATAATAACTTTACATAATTTCCATATCGACAGTACACTTAACTTTGTGTTCCACCTTAATTGAGCATTTATTCTAAACATAATTTGGGTTTTAGTAAGAATATTATTTATTTGTTTATGCATTTAGGAAGTCATACCACCATATTAATCCTTTACTTTTATGTTAATAATGGTTGTTGTCGAATACATTGCCCTTTACTTTTACTCAAGTACATTCTAAATGCCTCAACTCGTCATAGATCATCTTTCAATTGTTGTATTCAATGTTTACTAATTAAAGCAATTGAGATCTCACTCAACACAGCGCTTGAATAAAACATGCAAAGTGTAGGCCTAATGCTATCGACAAAACATTACGCCATTACTTTGAAGAGTAATCCTTTAACTTCCGGTGTCGCGTGCCCTTCAGTTGTTGCCTGGCAGTTTAAGGGGGCAGAGAACAGAATCATAATAAACCACAATACATCATGGTTGGATTATTGACAGGAAAAACACAGGAAACTCTGCTTTAAAGTCGTTTAAATAGTTCAACATTAATGTGTATTTCAAACCATAATGCTAATGTCCCTTTTATTTATACTGATTATTTATTTACTTTGAAGGATACCGTACAAATTATCATAAAACTGCTATGTTTCTTCATACAATTCTGGAAACAATTTACATGTTTTCTATTATTTTAAGGCAAGGCTACATTAAACCTGTCTTGTGCTTTTCCAATGTAGATGATCCAGATGAAGAGCTTTGCACATGTACATGTGCACATGTGTAAGGCATGTTTCAAATACATTATTCCCCATATGTCTGCCATAGGTTGAAACATCTGGAACATCCCTGTGCAAGTCAGCAGAAGGAGTAATCAATGACTATATAGTTACATTGTTATGTGTTCTATTGTATTACTTCATAATATCTCAAAACAAAAGTGCATGTAGGTCTATCTGATTATGAACTCCACATTTAACCATGTGTAACAGGTTAACAGATTGAATCATTGACTTCACAGGAATGTTAAAAGAACATTATTAAAAAGTGTACAGTTCTAGCAATTTCTTTCTACATTATTTGGCATAAAAAAGATACTGTGAAAAACCAATTGGATAAGCACTATATACTCCCATTATACTCCAAAATACCATAGTATAAAATTAAATTGTTCAACAATGCAAAGATGTCGAAACTTAACATTCAAATCATGACAGACAGACAGACAGACAGACACAGATCCTTTTTACATGGCCGACCTACTGAAGTCCAATTTACAATGCACATTTATTATCATCGAGGCCTGTTTAGCTGAATTGGTACAGCAGTTGAAGCTGGTCAGTGTGCACTGTTCATAAAAAGCTCTTTGTTTGGGATCTTTAATGGCCGGTTGAAAGGATGCTTTGTGCCGCATGGGGACAAAATGTGCCTTGTTTCTGTCTACTTGATAGGCTCGGCAGCGGCTGCAGCTCCCTCAGGCGTGGCCTTGTTCGATATGGAGTAATGGTAAGACCTCATGGACTCCTCAACCTTCTTGAAGTCAGGACGCTCCTCGTGCCTGGGGAGAGACGAAGGATAGGATCAGATGTTTGAAGGGTTGTGATTAGAGGAAGGCAATGCAGCAAGATGAGGTCACATTACTGTCTGACGCTGACCGAATGTCAAATACAACACTTGAGATGGTACATTGTCTTTAGTTCTGAGTGAGGAAGGTAATGTCCTTCAGCCCCAGCAGTCATGCTTTAGACTTGATAATAACACAATAACTGATTCGGTTGCTGCAGTGCATGACTGTTCATTTGCTTGATAAAAGCAACATTGTGCTGCACTCTTTAGATATCTGCTATCAGGCTTTTGTTCTGGAGCCGTGGCTTGAAAATTGAAGATATTTCTATATTCCACCACATTAAGGCATTCTTTTTACAGTATAATGGAGCACTGAGGTCTGTGATTCAATTCATTCACATTTCCCAGACTGTGAAAATAACATCCACAAACTTTTAATGTACAGAAAATAGTAACTCTTAAAAGTCTGATACTGATTGAAGCAATTAAAACATTGAAAGTTTCAGATATAGGAGTTTTAGGACGAGGGTATTTTTATTTTTATTATAACAAGGACTCATTGTTGTATCGTGATGTGATGATGGCTTTGTGTGACTGAATTGTCTTTATGTGTATGTATTGTAAATGTAACTTGTAAAGTTGCACAAGCATCACATGATCACTTTCTTACTTGTATATCCAGCATTCTTTCATCACTGTATACATTCGCTCAGGACACACGGCTGGACAATCCATGCGGCTTCCACTGTCAATGAAGCGCATCACCTCTGGGCCTTTCATTTTCTAGACATAATTGTGACACAAAAAAGTTGTAATTCCATTTAATATGTAATGTAATTGATAGATGACTTTGATTGTGCTCTGGCACCTTGTAAGGTTTCCCTCCGAAGGAAAAGGCCTCCCACATTGTGATACCAAAACTCCACACGTCGCTTTTACTGGAGAATTTGTGGAAGTTGATGCATTCTGGAGCGTACCACTTCAGAGGCCATTTACCTGCAGTACGAGCCTAGACAACACAACAGGTACGACAAAAAGCAACATGTAAATGAGAGGCTGCCTGCATCAGTATTGATAATTATAACAATCTTTATTTAAAGAGTAAAGGACTTTTAAGCGCTTTAACGATGGGCAAGGGATGCTGAAGGATTTGATCATTTACATTTTGGCATGCAACTTTTCTTAACATTAAAACATTTGGTGATTTATACTTTAGTGACATTTAACATTATTGAACAATATCAGAGCAGAAGAAATATCCAATAGTTATAGAAATAAGATACGATAATAACAACTTTCTCAACTATTTAAATATGTATCTGTAAGTCTAACACAGGCCAGTATAATTTCACTTGGTATTGATATTATTTCCCATTTTTCTTAATTGTATTATCTCCTTTATTTTGTGATTTATTTGGAGTCTTTACTGATGTATGCTGTGCTTATAAAGTGCAGTATAATCACTCATTGTTTTGGTTTGTTTTAACTCTTTGGTCTTTGTGCTTGCCTGGTTATTTAAACATGATTGTGTATTTGATTGGTGTGTTTTATGTGTTTGTTGTAAAGAAACTCTGTAACATCTAACATTTACCTTGTAATAGTTGTCGTCTGCTCCAAGGGCCTTGGAAAGCCCGAAGTCACTGATTTTGGCGAACTGTTTGTTGACCAGCAGGACGTTACGAGCCGCTAAGTCTCTGTGCACAAAGTTCTTCTCCTCCAGATACTTCATTCCCATCGACACCTGGTGCATCAGGTTCACAATGTTCTCCACGCTGACTGTGTCCCTGTGATGACCAAAACACTGATTGTCACAAAAATCAGGAGATGACGAGGAATATTCATTCAGTTTTTGTCTTTTAGAACTGTGATTTGTCCATATCCAAAGTTCGGACAATAGATGGGCTTGTATGACACTTTATTCTAACCATGGGGTACTACATTAATCTGAGGAGATAGAAGAGATTTTTGTTGCCACACAAGATACTTTTTTTCTGAAATATTTAATACTTTCACCACCATCTTTCAAATGCAGCCCTTTGAGAAGGAGAAATCACTCTTTAAACTTATAATAACATTAAGGCATGTCTGTAAAGAGGACAAGTGGACATTGCTACAATTTAAGTGGTAACATGCAAGAACATGGCAAAACTATTATTTATATAAGTATAATAAAAAAGACTTTACTAGTTCCCCAACTAAGTATGATAAAGTAAGAGGAACAACTGATCATTATCAAATATGTCCATTTTAATTCATTTCTTATTTTATAGTTATCTATCATTTTTAATTTGTATCTTTGATTTTACCCTTAATTTTATTAATCTGTGTGAATCTGTGATGTCCTGTTTTTCAATCTTACCCTGTTGCTGTTAAACTACTGAGTTTCCCCATGGGGATTAATGAAGGTCCATCTTATCTTATTTTGTATTTTGTAATGATCAGAGGTGTTACATATATATATATACATACATATGTTTAACTTACTTATTTGTGGAGAGGAACTTGTGGAGAGGCCCGGCAGAGGCCATCTCCATGACCAGCATCAGGTTCTCGGCGTTGCACAGACCCAGAATGCGGACGATGAAGGGGTTGTTGAGCTGGTGCATGATCTCTGCCTCCCTCATCATCTCATCCCTCACCAGCTTTTCATTGTCACTCTTTAGTATTTTGATGGCCACATCAAGCTGGCCCCTGAGAGCACACAAACAACAAAACATTGTGGATTTACTCAAGAGACGGTGCATGGGCTAAGTACAGCTGCTTGCAAGACCACTTCTGGGTTTATTGGTGAAACTTGTTTTGTTTCATAATGTTTAAGTCCTCACGAATCAGTCTTGAGGACTCCTTTCTTGACGAAGCCAAAGTTCCCTGAGCCGAGCTCCACTTCATCGACCAGCAGCTGACTCCTCTGGATGTTGAACTTCCTCACTTCATTTGGGTTGTGGTACGGGTTGAATACCTCGCAATCCATCGGCAGCACCTCACGGTCTGCAGGCACATTGGTGGCCATCTTCGATGCTGAGGGAGCAAACCATATAGGGTTGAAACCCAAGACAGGTTTAATGCTGTACATGCTAATGAACTGCTGAGAGAAGATACATCGTTTTTTAGATGTTTTTCTGTGTTTTCTTTTAAAAAAAACACTCAAAAACGATTGTGTGTGATTCTGTGAAGTTTTGAAATAGAG